GAAAAAGAAAAAGAGAGAATATCAGGAAGAGAAAGGAAAGCCAAAAGAGAGAGAGAAAAAAAGAGCAAGAGAAAAAGAGAAAAAATTACAGGTTTAAAGATCATTATTGTCTGACGTGTTCGGCGTGTCCGCTGACAGGTTGGGCGCAGCGTCCGGGCGGGAGGAGGGCGGAGGGGCGGCCCGTCGTCAGAGCGCCGGGGTGATTGCATGCGTGTCATGCATTACTCCGCGTGTCGACTTTCACCGTGGCTTGTTATGTACTTGTAATGTTGCATATGCCTGATGCCGTGAACACCTTGTTTCCCCGTGTGATTGTAGTTATTTGTTGTATTTAAGTTGTTTTTTTTTGGGGGGGAGGGGGAGGGGGTATTGGTATTTTAGGTATTATCTCTTCGTACTTTCTTTTTTTTCTTGGATTGAGATATATTTTGGGGTTCTCTCTCTTTTTTTCCCTCTCCCTTTACTTTCTTCTCTCACTTTAGCGTAAACAACCGTGGTTATTGGTGTTATTTTCGTGTGATTGTTAATTCTTTCTCTCTCTTCTTAGTCTTTCTCTGTTTCATATTTCGCCATAGTCAGTCTCTCTCTCTCTCTCTCTCTCTCTCTCTCTCTCTCTCTCTCTCTCTCTCTCTCTCTCTCTCTCTCTCTCTCTCTCTCTCTCTCTTTCTATCTTAGTCTTTCTTTGTTTCATATTTCGTCATAGCCTCTCTCTCCCTCTCTCTTTTTCTCCCCAGTCATATTTATATTGCTGGCTTACTCTCTGTGTGTATTTCATTTTTCGCACTGTGTTGCGTCTCTCTTGTCTCGAATCAGCGGGTTGGTTGTACACGGAAGCGGGAGATTTAGAAAGGGGGGGGCACCCTGGTTGAAATCTTGACTCAAGAATTTTGAGCTTCGGTTTCTTGCTTTGGAAGGGTGAAGGAGAATACAGTGTGTGCACAGTGTTCGCTAGAATCGTGTGTGTGTGTGTGTGTGTGTATGTATGTATGTATGTATGTATGTGTGTGTATATATATATGTGTGTGTGTGTGTGTATGTGTGTGTGTGTGTGTGTTATAGTGTAATACATAATGTATACTGATAGAAATAGATCTGCGCATGTGCGTTAGGCGCAGGGGAGCAGAGCGAGGCCGCGTGGAAGGAGCCAAGCAGAGGCAGAGGAAGAGAAACGCGGAGCGGGGAGCGCGAGATCGGCCGGGTTTCCCCACATCGCTACGCCCCATATACTTCCCCGGCCGCGCATTCCGATTTCTTGTATTGCGGTTCCTAGCAGGGGCGGGGGGGGGGGGGGGGAGATCCTGTTCGGCAGCATTGTAATTTGCGGGAGGCAGCCTGATTAATTGCGAGCTTGAATGGCGTGACTCGTCCTATGGTGGGGTTGATTGAGACAAAATCGCTGGCGGGTCGTATCGTAGCGTCATAGAGGGAGTATATGTGTGTACGTAAATGACTCACGTTAGGGCAAACGATAGCTCATTTATAAAACGTCAGTTGATTGCTGAGAAACGTGAAAATATGGCCAGTTTTGGGGTTAAATGCATAGTTACCACCATTACCGTATACTATGTGAATGCGGTGATGGAGCCAAGACTTCGGATTATTACGTCTACACGTCAGTTAAATTTTGCAAATCTCTTACTTGTAATGCATTTTTTTTCTTTTTTTCTCTTTTTTTTAAATAAATTCTTACATCATGATATACAGGTAATCATTGATTACTAACTCCAGTCATTGCCGAAATCATGGCGCTAGCATCGTATTCGTATAATCTGCGGTAATAGTGGTAAATCTGGTTGAATGTATTTCAGAAAAAAACATCCCCAAGACCTTGCAAGGAATGCCGTCTCAAAACCTTTCCTAATTTGCTCTTCACTTGAACACAATTGGACGCTAAGAACACATTCGACCTTCCAGAAATTCGCTTGCAATCTCTTTGAGCGCTTTGTGTGGCCCATTGTGGGTCGTGACGCTTCGCCCGGGGGAGGGGCAGGTGCACCCCCTTTGCCCTCCCTCCCGCTCGGGGCATTTTTGTGCCCGTTTACATGTATAGGGAGGTAGGAAGGCAGGCACACACACACACACACACACACACACACACACACACACACACACACACACACACACACACACACACACACACACACACACACATCCATCCATCCATCCATCCATCCATCCATCCATCCAAATGAATAGAGACGTGTGTGTGTATATATTTATATACATACATATATATACACACATACATATACACACATATATATATACACATGTGACTACCGCGATGGTCCAGTGGTTAGAGCACTGGAGTCCGACCCTCGTGGTCCCGAGTTCAATTCCCCGTCCCGGCGGTCGTAAAAATGCCTGTGTACCGACTGCTGGCTTGAGCCCGATCTCTTGGCGAGAAAACGACATATCGCCTTAAGAAGTCAAACAAAGGTGTCGTAGGGTAAGTCAACGCCGTGGCACAAGTGTTAACACGCCGAACCGCGATTGATTAGGAAGGGCAATCAGGCAAGGGTGGCACTGCCATATAACCTCTCAATAGCGAATTGAGAGAGGCCTATATCCTGCAGTGGAATGAATGGCTGTTGAAAAATTGTATATATGTAAACACACACACACACACACACACATACACATATATATATACACACAAACATACACACAAACATGCAAACATACAAATAAATAGAGACAGAAAGAGAGAAAGAGAGCGAGAAGGACGAAGGGAGGGAGGGATTTAGGGAGGGGGCGCAAGGCAGCTAAGCCGAAGTCTCTTCCCGTGGGCGTGGGCCGACAGCCTGGGCGGCCCTTGATGAGGCTACCGCCGCCTTCACGTATTGTGCTTCGCAGGCCGCTTAAGATCGGCATGAAATTAAAGCTTTGGGTAAGTCCAGTACCGTGAAGATGTACGTTAAGGCCGCTTTTGTCAAGGTGAGTGTGGAGATCGAAAGAAGGCCGGGGGGGGGGGGGGAATGGTGGCGATCTGGTGGCTAATAAACCATTAATGGGGCGGTCAGTGGGGGGGTGAGAGAGAGAGAGAGAGAGATAGGGGTGGGGGGAGGGGGGTGGGGGTGCCATCCCAGAGGGTCGAGAGTGCCGCCATGCAACACTGGCCGATCCCCGCCCGTAGCCGAGGCATGTGATGTGGGTGGACTACGGTTCTTCCTGCGGCGAGCTTAGTGAATCGTGAAGAAAATTACTGGAAAGACGGGTTATGTGTGAATATCTCACTCCTCGGGTCGTGGTCTTCCTCGTGGCGCAATGGGATGAGTACGGCAGAGAGGTCGGGGCAGGGGAGTGGGCACAGGCGAGGGAAGAGAGGTCAGGAATTTAACTTGGACGAGCGTTAAGAGGCGGTCTCCGGGGCGAAGCGGTTTGGGCGTGAGGCGTGGCGGCGGCCGATCAGGGGCGCCGCGTGGAATGGACCCGGTGATCTCGCCGAACCAGATTATCGGGCTCGTACCTATCAAAGTGAAAAGATCTGCGGCGTGATTGCGTTATGCACGGAGACCGTGGGTTTCAACTCGACCCCGCCCACCCGACGCCCGCCCGCCCGCCCGACGCAGGCGGGCAGGCACAGGACACAACGGCGAAGCTCCCTCCGCCGCCTGTGTCCTGTGCCTATTTTTTTCTTTCTTTCTTATTTTTCTTTTTTTCCTTTCTTCGTGCGGCGGACTTCATTTTATCCGTTTTTTCTTGTCTCGCCTTCTGCCTTTTGAGTTCAAGTTCAGAGAAAGCGAATGCTGCTCTTATGTTGACAAGAAAAATTGCTAATGGAAATGGATTGGTAAGAGGAAGGGGTTCGCTCGCAAGCTGATTGACTGACAGGCTGATAAAAGATCGCTTACCGGGTTCCAAAAAGAGTCGCGAAGTCAGCTCTGCGCATCTCTGCCCGTCAGAATTCTACCCAGATGTGCATTTTAACATAAGTGGTATTGTGTTAATATCTATGTATGTGTGTATGCATTTATGATTGTATTATTTAGTATATGAAGATAAGACTACTCAAATGGGGGATGGGTATTGTGTAGAGGAGAGGGAGGAGTTTAGCTACATTGTTTAGCGCCGCCACCTCGCTACAGGCTGTAGCACCGGCTGTGGCTACAGTTCATCTCTCGATTTCTAAGATAAACGGCGATAGTGGCACGATAAGGCACGAGGTTAGAAGGTCCGGGGAGAGGAGAGGTGGGGCATGTGACCTCCCGTCGCCCCCCACCCCTTCTTGTTTGGTCAGGAGTGACCTCGAGTTGAAGTTTGACCATGAAAAGTTTTGCCTCGGAAATAGCTTTCAATTCCACAACAGAAATGATATGAAAAGGATATAGATGAAATTGGTAATAATGCTTGAGACAAGAGGGTAGGGGAAGGTGGCAGAGAGAGAGAGAGAGAGAGAGAGAGAGAGAGAGAGAGAGAGAGAGAGAGAGAGAGAGAGAGAGAGAGAGAGAGAGAGAGAGAGAGAGAGTAAGGAAGAACGGAGAGAGAGAGAGTGCAGTGCTTGTAACGTTGTAGCGGTGTCTAGGGGAGGAGCAAAGGGGGGAGAGGGAGATAAGATTAAAGTGAGTAGACCCTTGTTTAAGATAGTGTTCTTGAGCCGGGCGAGAGCGGCGGTGGCAGTGTTGGCCGGGAGTGTGGCCAGCACAGTGCGGCTGAACCCCTGCCTCACCTGAGATTTATAAGACGGCGGTGTGTCTGTGCTTCACCTGCGCGAGTGCCTCGCGGACGCGTGTGTGCGGCTCGGAGGCCGGGTACTCAAGGGCGTGTTTCTGCTCCCTGGACCCATCGAGCGAAGGAATAGGGCCGCTCGCGATTGAACAGATCGTCCTTGTGGTCGAAGTGATCCGCTTGTTCGTTGTTATATTGTAGAGGAAACTAATTTACCTCGTTCATGATCTCTATTTTTATTGTTCGTTGATGCAGGACAAGAGGTGAACGTGAGCGATTTGTGTTCTTTTAATGCCATGCTGTGGTGCCAGTGAAGCGTCGCATGTGAGTGTGGCGAGTGCAGTGGACAGTGGTGTGCGGCGGATTCGTGCGGGCCAAGTGGAGCCTCGAGGAGCAGCGGCGCGTTCTTGCGGTCCACATCAGCGGTCGCCGAGTTGTCGCGGGGAGTCCCAAGGGCGGAACGGTGGAGCGCTGCGTGGAGGACCACCATCATCATCAGCTGGTGGATGCCAGCGGAGAGACCCCGGACAACGGCGCTGGAGGGGAGCAGGGGCTCGAGGGCGGTGCTGGCGCGGGTGGAGGAGGAGGAGTGGGGGGCGCAGCCGCCCTGGGAGAAGGTGGAGGGCCTTCTGGCTGGAGCCGCGAGGGAGAGCTGGATGTGGTGACGGCGCACTTCAGGGGCATGCTGAGCCTCACTGACGAGGTCAACGACGATTGGGCATTCCTCAAGGATTTTCTAGGCTACAAGTCTCACGTCCGAGATTCCGAGACCGGCGAACTCACGGCGCCCCGCCCCGACGCCGACCCACAGGCCGTCACCGCTTCCCCCGCGCCGCACCTGGGCCTTCACGCGCCCTCGCAGTTGACCCCGCCCTCGCCGAGCCACGCGGTCAGCCCGCCACAGGGATCTCTTTCCTCTCCGCTCGCAGCGCTGTCCCCTGCGTCCCACGTGGGCACGCCCCTGCCCTCCATCTCCACTCTAGTGCGGTACCCACCAGTCTCTTCCCCCTGCGTGTCGGGGGCGCCCGAGTGTCTGACCCCCGGTCACCAGGTGCCGCCCCTCACCCCTGAGGACGGGTGCCGCAGCCTCGAGGCACCGCCCACTCCGCTGGGAAGCATCCACGACTCGCAGCAGTTCTCGGACAGCGACGCCAGCTGCCTCGTCCCTTCCGAGGGCAGCGCTTTCCGCTCCGTGACCCCTTCAGGAGAGATCCCCGAGAGCAAACCTTCACCCTCGCTTCTCAGGGATCTCCTGGTACTCGGCAAGCCGCCCAGGTCACAACATGACCAGGTAAACAAACACTCTTATCACTGCATAGTCTTACAGCACAGTTTGCCAGACTTGTGACGCTCCCTCCGCCCATCTAACCTCTCCCATCGCGGACTCGGGTCTCGGGCTGTCCTATCTCTCCCTCTCTCACACTCTCACGTCCCTCACACACTGCAATGGTATTCTGACACTTTCTCACACTATTTTCACACCACATGACATGCATTTTGATTGTTATCATTATATAATTGCCTTGACAAGAAAAATAGCATATTCGTTGCGGAAACGACACATTAGCGCCTCTGGTGCTTAGACCTCTTCAGATGATAGTGATGAAGCTTTAGACATCTCCTCACACTGTTTAGGTCCAGATCCATACACAGGCATTAATTCATTTATTTATTTTAGCGGTGCCATTGTCGCTACTGTGGCTAAGCTAACGCTGGCATGACGAAGGAACTGTAAGGACGGTAAGAATAAATATGGCGATCAGATGGCCCTAATGATAGCAGACGTGAAACCGCCATAGATGTCCCTTTTCGTGTTAGCTGCTGATGCTACTAATTCCAAATTGCCTTTTCAAGTGCGACGAATCACCAGAGAACGGACAACGACCTTTCGCGTTTCGAAAATCTCAGGACATGCCTCGCCTCTTTCCTTTTTTTGTGCATTTGTGTGACCTAGAGAAACACAAATGGAGAAGACACCTCGTAGCACAGCAAGACACGTTGCTTCGCAGCCGAAACGACGAACCTCACAAATAATTCAAAACGTTAGAAATTTGCGAAACGAAGAGACAATCAGGAAGCAGACGAAAGACGGGGGGGGGGGGGGGTTGATGTTTCTTTTCGCGTCTCATTCGCGGGCCCAGCTTCGCCTTGGCCCAAAAGCCTTGCGGAGAGGGCGGGGATGTAAAAAAAAAAAAAGATTTTGAGTCCTTGATGTACTTTTTTATCTGTAATTGTAATTATTATCCGTCTTTTTACTTGTTGCTTTGGAGCCTCAAACCTACCTCCATTCCTCCCTCCCCGTTCCTTGCCCCCCATCTCTCTCTCTTTCTCCCTCTTTCTCTCCCTCTCACCCCCTCTCTCTCTCCCTCTTTCTCTCCCTCTCACCCCCTCTCTCTCTCCCTCTCACCCCCTCTCTCTCCCTCTCTCTCTCTCTCTCTTTCTCTCTCTCTCTCTCTCTCTCTCTCTCTCTCTCTCTCTCTCTCTCTCTCTCTCTCTCTCTCTCTCTCTCTCTCTCTCTCTCTCCTCTCTCTCTCTCTCTCTCCCTCTCTCTCTCTCTCTCCTCCTTCCTCCCTCTCTCTCTCTCTCTCTCCTCTCTCTCTCTCTCTCTCCTCTCTCTCTCTCTCTCTCTCTCTCTCTCTCTCTCTCTCTCTCTCTCTCTCTCTCTCTCTCTCTCTCTCTCTCTCTCCCTCTCTCCCTCTTTTTCCCCTCTCTCTCTCTCTTTTTCCCTCTCTCTCTCTCTTTCCCTCTCTCTTTCTCTCTCTCTCTCCCTCTCCCTCTCCCTCTCCCTCTCCTTCCCCCTCCCCCTTCCCCTCTCCTTCCCTCCCCCCCCCTCCCTCTCTGTCTCTCTATCTATCTATCTCCAGCTCACTCTCATTCATACCCCCCTCCCCCTCCAACTCTCCTTTTCTTTCTTATTTTCTTACTGCTTACTCTCTCTTTATCAGTTTTTTTTTCTTTCTCTACAATTCTCCGTCCGAAGGCTACTCATGGCCACTGCGACATTCGCGTTTTTTGTAAATGAGATAATTGCGTTTTCAGGGTGACGACGGCGGGCACTGTCTCTGCAGCGTTGTGTCGTTGGGGAAGAGAAAGGATGGTGAGGGGAGTTGTGAGTAGGGGGAAAGGAGAGTGAAAGATGTGAGGGCCTGGAGGGATGTAAGAGGAATGAGGTGTCTGGAGGGATGGTGAGAACAATGAGGGTCCGGAGTGATGGTGAGGGAAATCAGGTTCTGAAGGGATAATGAGAGAGATGAAGAGATGAGGGGCTGATCAGGAGAGGGAAGGTCGTGAGGGATGAAGGCAAGGGGAGTGAGGGCTTGGGGATGGCGAAGAGGGCGAGGGACCTTCGAGAATGGTGAGGCGAGCGAGGGCCCTAAGGGAGGGCGAAGAAAGTGAGGTCAGATTCTCAATGCTTGCTATTCTTATTCAATTGCTGTTGTAAAACTTTTGTGATTTTTTTTTCTGTTTTCTTGGCCAACTTTATTTGTTTGTCCGTTTTTGTTTTATAAAATTGGCATTGTTTGAATACTTTGTCGTTAGAGCTTCCCTGAGGTCCCACCTGAGGAAGGCATAGATTCACGTGGTAAGCAAGTAACGCGGACAGGCCCGGGCCCGGCTGATACGGAAGAGGAGGAAGCTTGATAAAAATTAATAATAATTTTGTAACGTTTATTCTTTATCCTCGATTCTCTCTGCTTCGCTCATTCTAGACTGACTAGACTATGTATGCAGGGAATCGTTCCATGTCATTCTGCATGTGGTTGACCTCAAATGGCGAGGAGGCGGTTTCCTTACCGCTTTTTCATTCGTAACTTGTTTGCGTTAGCAGTGGGTGTTTTCTGTGGAGTGGCGCAAGTCGTTTAGTGTGTGATGCATCTTCTTGACAACACGTGAAGCAATAATGTGCGATTTCTCATAAGTATGCGTAGTGCGAGTCGCTTTCTTATCGCGAAGAATGCAGAGATATTGAAACTGTCTCGTATTTTAACTCGCAGAAGATAACGCGACGTTTTTTTTCGATCGCGTGAACGTGTCAAGGAATCGGTAATCTTTTTCTTTTCCCCTTCTTTTTTCTTCCCTTTTTCCAACCAACGTTTTGTCCTGTTGTGATTATTTATTCGTCACCTCCCGATAATCCCGCCGTGGTATCAGAAGGATTGCCAGAATATGGTGACTCTTGCGTTCTCGCTGTGATATTATTTTGATTCAGAGCGTTCCTCGGGACGCCGCGCCCTCGTCGCCGTCCGCACAGGCCTCTCCTCGCAGCCCTGTGCGCCTGTCCAGCTCCGTCCTTCGCTCGAGTTGCACCACTTTTTGCTGTCTGCTCGTGTTCGAAGATATTTTTTGTGCCAGTGATATATTTTTTCTGTCTCGTTTGGTATCTAGCTTTTTTCTGTTCTTTCTATTCTTCTTGTGTGTGGCGCGTCCTGATAATGCCAGAGTGTGAAGGGGAGTGGGAAGATCTTTTCCTCGGTCCTGTGGGTCGAAACTAGGCTTAAAACAGCCTCTATTCGTTAATTACTTTACCGATTTTTTTTTCAGCCTTATCATGTTTCCCCTCTCTTCTTTTTAAACAATTTCTTTCTCTTTCTCATTCTCTTTCTCCCACCCTCCCTCCCCCAATCCCCAATCCCCCATCCGGCCCCCTCCCTCCTCCCTCCATCTCCCTCCCTGTCAGCCTCTCACTCCCTACCGCGCTGCTTTTCTCCGCCATCCTCTTAAGTCTCTGTTTATTCAAGAATCTTTTGGCTCGTCATCACCCCCTCCCCCCACCCATGTGTCAACACTGCTTTCTAGGAAATATCCTTCACCCTCCCCCCCCCCTATCCTGTCCTTTGCGTTCGTCGCACTCGCGGAAGAATTTCTTACCCCATCATCTGCCCATCCATCTACATCATCTCCCATCTTCCCTTCCTTTCGTCCCTCTGTCTGCTTTCTTTGTCGTTTCTCTTTTTTCCGCTGATTGTGCTATCAGCATCTCCATCTCGCGAACTCGTTAAGTGATACAGATATAACACTCATAAAAGAGAGCAATCTATATTACCGTGAAATTTACGATTCATACAGATAATTAAAGATGGAATTGATAAGGTAATTACCGATGGGAGACGCTTCACCCCAACCCAACTTCCGGAGTGTGGCAGACCACGCCCGTCCCTCCCGCTCTCCCCAGCCGCCCTCGTGTCCACCGCCCATGTGTCCGTCCGGCTCTCCCGCTCTCTCGCCAACGTCCAGCCCGGCGCGTGTACTGGCGCTCGGGAGGGTGACGCAAGGGCTCTGACGTCGACGTTGTGACGACGGGAAGCTTGCGTCAGACCAGGCTCGCCGGGGCGGTCTCTTCCAGTGCCCATGCAGCAGGCGATTGCGATGCTGATAATGATGAACTAATGGCAGTGATGATGGGTATTACTCATGATTATGCTAACACCTATGTCAATACACGTCATCCCAAAGAAAATTGCAATCCAGAGTTAGTATTTACTTTCAAATTCGAAAAAGTCCTCAAGATGACAAAGATAAACAAAGAAGCGTGGGTGTGCGGCAGGCAGCATCTGGCCGACGTCACAGACAAGCGCAAACCTGCTTTAGATTACGCTTATCTCGCGCGGAAGAATTGGACGCCACTAGGATGACTGAGGGGGGAGGGGGGAGCAGTAGAAAAAATGAGAATGCAAACAGAAGAAGTAGGAAGAATATAAAAGATGGTGATGAAAAAGAGGGAGGGAGGGAGGGAAGCTGTTTTGTTAAGAGGTGGGTGAGAAGAGGGAAGGGAGGGACGGGCAGAGGAAGGAATCAGGTGAAAAAACGTTAAAATAATTTTGGAAAAAGTAGCACTCGGCACGTCCTTGTTCATTAGGGAAATCCGTTTTTCCTCGAGATCGCTATTTTTTTGTTGTTTTTCCTGTGTTCACCATTTTTTGTATCTTTCCATTCCTTCTTTTCTTTTCTTTTCACTAGCGGGGGCGGGGAAATGGAAAATCCCGCAATTTGATTTGGTTATAGTTTTCAGTCCTTTGATATGGCGGTTTTAACTTAACGAACTTGATTGCGTCGGATGAGGAGTCGATCGAAGGAAACAGAGAGAGAGAGTCAAAATAAAGTAAGAAGCGGGAGAAAAAAAAGTTAAATAGAAGGGAGTAAAAAAGGTAGGGCGAGGGGTAGGAAGAGAGGCCGGAAGCGAGAGGAAGAAAGGGTGGAAACGCAAAAAGAAAGGGAAGGGTGGGACTATGGGAGGGAGGGAGGGCGGGAGGTAAGGGAGGGGGAGGGAGGGACGCCAACCGATGGAGGGGA